TTCAGTACACTCTAAACAAGTGGTGTTCCCTTTAGTAACTGCCAGTTGCATTTGCCCAGTTCCTTAAATAGGCCAGTTAACATTCCATTTGCAAATGGTAACATTTGATCGCTGATATCACCTGCAATATACACACCAATTGAAAAAGTAACTTATATGAACTTTTTTTTTTATCTTAGTAAAGCATGCCCTTAGTTTCCTGCATGTAGCCACAAACACACTGGTGGCACATCTGACTACAAACTGACAAATTACAAACAGGATGTGTAATTTTAAACCCACAAAGGGTTTTTAAACCCACAAAGGGCAGATTTGAGTGCTTGATATTTTCTTGTGCTCTAAAGGAAAAGCCCGGTCGACAAGGAATAATCAATGGATCATTATCTATACCTAAAACTAATACGTTCACAGTGATTTAATGAATTTAGTGTAAATCAGTAAAACAATTTAGACAATAATTTTCGTCAAAATCACTGAGTCTGGGATTGGCCATTTTTGCCAAAAAATTGTAACACCTCACTCCTGATATCTTCCAGCAGTGACGTCACAGAAATCAGTGGGAACTACTAGACACATCTGCCACAAACAGTTATTTAAGATTTCGAGAGAACTTTGCCATTGAAATTCGCGAGAGCTATAGTTAAAATGACGACGCCCACGTGCATGGCAGTAGGATGTTGTAATACAAAATATAGCTAAAAGTGAAAAAATAATTATTGTTTCACCTTTCCAATTCATGATCCACCACAGACGGGTTTGTCATTAGATGGCGAACTTAAAGAGAGAGGATTTGCTGTCGAACTTCTGGCCAGAGAGAAAACCTGTAATATTTAGCAAACATTTCGAAGAAGAATGTTTTCAAGATAACTTGGATAATAGCTCATTGTGACAAACACAAGATACAGCATTGGGACTTGATCAACAGCCGATACCGCACCATGACATCACAAACCGTTAGGTGGCAGTAGTGTTCTTTGACAAACATGGATGCCTTCAGTAAAGCATATTCAAATGAAAATTACTCCTAATTAAAAAACCCTTATCATTTATTGAACTGTATATAATAATTTAATCTTTAAAGTACCTACAGAAGTTTGAATTCTGAATATGACCGGACTTTTCCTTTAAACAGATCTCACCACCTGAGCAGTAGATCTTTGTACCTCCTCTAGCGTTACCATAAGCTTCCTGCATGTTTGTTATGCTCTTTTTCTCAGCCAATTAAATCAGATTGATGATGATGAGGTTTTTAGTTGTTCCACACTCTTTCCAGTTTTTATTATATATTCTTTGAAAAGTTAAAGCTTGAGATATTCTTTTAACAGCTTACAGCTAGAACTTTAACCTTGACCTGTATGCCGTGTTCCTTCGTCTTTAAATTGATGGTGGTGTTTGTTTACCAATGTTCTCTAACCAGCCCACTCAGAGAATATTTATATTGTATTGAGATCAAATTCAAACAACGGTGGATTCTATTAACTCTTTAGGTTTTTTTTTAGTTCATTTGTCTTTGTAGGGGTCGGAGAAGAGGGAATGCATACAATGCAATCTTAAGTACGAAAATAAAATCTATCGTAAAGCTGAAGTAAAAGGATGCCCTTTCCTCTCACTTTACAATTGTACACCTCTTTGTGTTGCTATATACCATAAAATCTCAACAAAACAGTCTTCTGTTCAGAAAAATGTAAAAAAAAAATTCCCACAGTAAATACTTTTGCGAGGCGCTGTTGCTCTTGGATAGGAATAGCCGTAGGGAGTAAGCTGCACACCTCCAACCTCTTAACGACGTCATCAAGCCTTGTGACTGCGTCCTACCTTTATGTGGAAAACTACTCGTGCAGTTGCATGAAATCAGAACACGGGCACTCGTGGCATGATTGCTCATGACAGAAAAAAAAAGCCAAACATTGACTAAATTAAACACCTAGGCTACACTGTAAACATCTGCACCAATTACTCCTCCTGTCTTATTCCTGACAAAGTGGTTGTTCAGGGGAGTGTTTGCCAGAGGATTAGAGCTTGCTTGCTGTCACCCCACCACCTCACTACATATGGGAATCACCCTGGTTTCCTGCGTACATAATAGTGTTGACAAAGCTGTGTCAATGCACAGATCGTTGCAGGGGAGGCTGCTTATTGTACGCGGAGTAAAGAGCCTTCATTAAAGTGCGTGTGTTTAGATACCAGCTAGTATAGAGTCAGCACAAAATGGGATGTATTCACATGTACTGCATCCTCTCTAACCTTGCCCACTTGAACACACTTTGGCCAGTGCACACAATCTGAGTCAGCAGAAACAGGAGCTTGGAGACACTGCTAATGAACCCAGGTGTTATTTTTCAATTTACCTCTTGCCTAGGCACAGGAACTCCTCTAAGTCACTGCTTCGGTTACACGAATCCCTCCATTAAAAGCTGCCTTTCTTATTATCTATCATTCACTCTGGATCTCTGCTTTCCTTGGTCATGCCTCAGTTCCAACACCCACAAATCCATGATGAGGTATGAGCACAGCAACAAAGATCTACAGTAACAGACACATACCAGCTCTACACATTTTTGTAGCGTCTATCAATCTGTCAGTGAGCAGCAGGTAGATAAAGCATTGCTATGTGGAGCAGACTGTCCAGAAGAGGGCATCATTACTGTAAGATATCCAGTAGAAAAGAAAATGCCAATTTTGTGCAACTATTAAGGTAATCACATTTTTTTATATAAAAATCATAAGTTATACCTAAAGAAAAAGTTAAGAGAATTTGTGCAGAAATTAAAGGCATACATTTTTACACTTTATTTCACCAAACAAGACAAATTTAAAAAGTTAAAGTTTTCATTTAACAATGAAATAAAGGAGAGCAAGACTCCTGTATCTAGCAACATTGGTTGAAGATTTATCTTGGATTCTCTGAAACTATACTCAATATTACATCATGGATTAAAAAAATCAAAAGCTCATTCCTTAAAAAATGAATTAGTCCTTATGTTTAGCAAGTGATAAACTGCAATTTTCCTTTAAGTAGCTATGGTAAAATTAATTCAGCAACAAAGTGGAGTGAAATCCTGTCAGTATCATTATGGCATTGTGGTATATTATGTTATATTCCCTAATTATTATTCAATGAGGCAGTGACATTTAAAAAAACTGAATGATTTTTTTTTTTTTTTATGCTCCAGCGACTCATTAACTCCAACATCCAAGTTATCTGAATGATCATTCAAATAAATCATGCAAGCATTCAGGTGTACAGAATTCAAACTTGCTCATTGTATAGCAGCTTTACGGTTTTTCTACAGCATTTGAAGCTGGGCTTTTGGCAGTGATATGGGGACATGTTTCCACATATAATGTGATCATTTTATTGAAGGTGCATCTCCAGGCTGACCATAGCGCGTCTCCGCCTCCAACACGCAGCTTTTCCTCTCCCTTTCTTCCTCCTGATGCCTCGCCTGTCCTATGGAGGACAAAGGGGCTGAAGATACCGGATGACACAGAAAATCCATTCTACGTCGTCCCGGCAGACAGGAAGTCACGACGCACTTTCTGACCGCCGTGTGCGCAATTACAGAGAAAAAACTCCTGACTTGCGACGCGCGTCGGGTCGAGGCAACGTTTGGTGTCGCACGCAGCCGCGCTTGGGAGAGCTACGTGTCCGGCCACACACGCTCACCCAGCAGTGCTGCCTTTGGAAGGAGAGGCGCGCGACGAGGGGTAAAGCTGCAAGACTGGAAAATATGTGCGCCCTCATCAGCTGGAGGTGTGGCGCTCATTACGTCTGTGCGCCCCTAAAATTAGATTCAGTATACACATCAAGAAAAAATATGAAATTAAAAATAGTAATATAAAGTAAGCTTAAAAATAAGAATAGGCTTTTTCATTGATCTGCATCTAAATGCATCAAAAAGTAATTTCTTGTTTCCTAATACACATTGTATAATTCAATATGGAAAACGAGTCTGGTGCTTATGAATGAATCTTAAAGGGATAGATCTGATTTTTTTTTTATTTTATTTTTTTTAGCATAGTTCTGTAAATAGATTACATATAAATGTTACATTACTTGCAAATGCAGTCAGCAATTGTTATAGAAGCTTTCTGTTGGTTTAAATTCCGGTTTACAAACCTTAAAATTGTCATTCCTTTAAAAAGTTTGATAATAGGAAATTAAGATTGGAGGCAGACAATCGTCCATACTTGAAACAGACCCTGTAAACCATTTCAAGGTAAAATCTAGGTCAAAACATTTACCTATTATCAGTTCTTTTTCTTTTTTCAGTGTGTTTTACACACACTTGTTAAGTGTTAAGTGGTAACTTAACATATATATGTGTTTTCTTTTTTTTTTATCTGACAGTTTCACATGTGCTTTTTTTTTCAAGATTCACATTGGAAACACCCTCGGTCCTCCGTTTGCTTCTCTTGTATGCAGTCTTCAGTTTTTTTTTATGTCACTTACAGTCCAATACAAACATAGGATGGTTTTACTGTAAAACAGCATTGGCAAAAACTGCAATGACATTTGAGTTTGGAGCTGTTTTAAAGTTTTTAGAAGTTAATTTTGGCACATTTTAGAGCAACCCTATTTCTGAGTGTGAAAGTTAAAAATCCCTAAGCAGCCTGACTAACATAAATGATGCAATACTTATAAAGCATGGTGAACCAACACTACAGTACACTTCTGCTGTCTCTTTTTTTTTTTTTTTTTTGGATAAGGAGTTAGCTTTTTCTTTTGGGATCAAGTAATCTTGACAAAAGATGCATTTTGTTTTTACCCAGAAGTCAGATTTTAAACCCACTATTAACATGTATTTTTTTTTAACACTTATGAACTTTTATATCATAGTCAATCTCTCTGGAAATGTTTGGACATTGGATTTTTATAGGTGTTTAACTTATGAGGATTACAGGTAGCAGACCACCTCTCACTTTTATTATAGTCACATGAAATAGAAGGATCAAGCAAGAAGAATAGATGTAATTAATTGATGATTGACTCTTTGAATTAAGCCTTAATGTTGATAATGTCATAACCTTAAAACTTGGGTCACTCACAGATAATGAGTAAAAGAAAATAGAGCCAAACATCTAAGCGCATCAGTTTTAAAATATCTTTTGCTTGTGATACTATGACGCGTTAGAAGCCTTTAAGTAAAAGCAGGGAGAGCTAGACACCACCCACCCAGGAACCTCCTCCAATCATACGGGTGCCCAGGCGCTGCTCAGTCACAGAACGGTGAAATCGAGAGAGGGGACAACACGCTGTTTGCCCCGGCTGGCTCACTGTAAGGCAATGACACCGGGATAAAACACCCGAAGCAATTTCACTAACTTTTACTTTTGTTTTCTGTACCTGGGAAAATTTCCAATCACAGATCTCATCTTTTTCTTTCTTTTTTTTTATTTTATTTTCTATATCCCACGGTGAACGTCAAGCGGCTCCAAGGCTTCAAGTTACACATATAGGAGCAGGCTGCAAGTTTCAAATGGGCAGACCTTTTGCGGCGACTGGCTCACAAGCATGGGATTATTCGTCCAATGTGGCGTGAAAATAAGGATCTGCTGTTGAACGATGTGAGACGTTGCGCTTCTTGGATTCTCGCGTTTCTGGATATCTTGAAAATCATTGGCAACAGTTGAAAAGAGAAGGGAGCATTTTTAAAGGAAAAAGGATTGTGTGTACACTCATATTGGGACCAGCAATGGATTTACTCCCCCCGAACCCTGTTTTCTGAGAAGTTATCACTTGTTCTGTTTCTTTTTTTTATTTCTATTATTATTATATATATATTTTTAAAGAAAGTTTTTGCTGAAGAACAAATAGCCGCATCGGCTATTTAAAGTTTTGGAACCCGTCGCTCAGCCCTTGCTTTATATTGGACTGGATTTCAAACACCATGAACTTTATTGACAGTTTGACACTATTATTTTTGACACTGTCAGCTGTCAAGGTGAGTTTGTCCTTTTCCCTCTGTGTGAAAATCAGAACCTAAAAGCAAAAGGAAAATATAAATGTAGCCTGATTGTCACTGGTCATTAATATGGAAAGCTGTCCGTGACTTTCGTCTGTCTAGGTCACAGATCGTGTTTAAACAAGCTGAAATGTTTAGAGGCTCCTTTAAACAGTCATTACGCAAAGCGGACAAGGATTGATCTCGGGTGGTTTTCTTTGTTTTGTCTTTTTCGTCTTTTTTGTGTGATTTCTAATCCAAATAAGGAGTAGGTGATTTTTTTTAAAAGATTGGGTTGTGGAGTTTGACGTGAGGGTAGAAAGTAGGCCTGCACTGGAACCACATTGGAGATAAGATTTCGCTTTAAAGGCGCAGCGGCTCTTTTCTGTGAATCAGGGGCAGGTTCACTCCCGGTGGCTCGGAGGCAAAATCGGGTTTTGTTAAAAAAAAAAAAAAAGAAAGAAAGAAAGAAAGAAAGAAAGAAAGAAAGAAAAAAAAAAGGGGAAATAGGTTCATATATAATCATTAAACAGAAGATCAAAATGTTTCAAGGTGAAAGTAGAGTGAAGAGGAGTGGGGGGAGTGCATTTTTCTGCGCCTTGATTGGACTTAAAAGCATTATTTCCCTTTAATTCTCCTCATTTCTTTTTTTTTATCACCTTATTTCCAATTTTGCTCCAGATTATTGTAGAGAGCTTGATCCACCAAACAGATTGTCGATCTGCTTATTCATCATAGCCCGGTTAAATTGTGCGTGTTCGCAGCTTGACACTCATATCTGTGTTTTTATGGGGGTGGATGATGTTGGATTTGGGGTGACGGTGGGGGGGGACTCTGTCTCTTTCTCTCTCAGCCCATAAGGTTGGACCCTCTCACGCCACCAGAAAGGGGGTGGGGCCTGAATGCACACAAGCCGTTTCCCCCCCTTTTTTTCTCTAAACTTTTCATTAATGAATTGAGTCTCATTGAGCGCATGCCGGTTGAACAGGAGCAGCGTCTCGTGCAATGTTGGCGAGGTATTGCGCGAGATGAGAGCGCGCGTTTTCTATGTGATCGAGAGGGGGGTGTCAAAAAAAAGGGTGTGTATTAGGTGACAAGACCGTACGCATAACGAACACATAGAAAGTTGCCAGAAGAAAAATGCGGTGGCCCCTCTGTTGTGGTGACAGCTACACCCAATGAAGAGCAGGCAGACATTTCCCATGCATTTTAATGGCAAAGGTTATTATAAGGTGGTTGGAGGTTTGGAAACTGGAAACCAAACCAACGCAGTGGTTCCAAAGTTTATGAAGTTTTGCCACGTAGTTGAGGGGGATTAACTTCCTATCAGTCATAAAAACAGTAAATTCTACCACAATATAATAATTTATTAGGAAATGCCATTCAAGTGTAAAATTGAGCTGAATAGGCAATGATAGGGTTATCTGACTTTCAATCTACTTTAAACTAGATTGTGTTAAAAGTGCAGTTGGTTCAAGGCTGGTACTGAATTGTTTTAAGAACTGGGCCTTAGTCTTTTCCAGTTAGTCCAAACCCAACACATGGCCATTTATATCAATAGTACATTTTCTAGGCTTGATTGTGTGCCTGTTGTGCTCTTAATTCGCTTAGTTTCTGGTCTAATCTAGTTAAATCAACTATAACAGAATGCCTGTAACTTGAATGGTTGCAATATATTGCTTAGTATATTTGCACCTAGAGTACATTTGCATGTATTGTTTATTGTACCTGAATGTATATGTTCTTTTTTAATTATTCTTAATTCTGGAGCCTTTAGATCAAATTTAAGAGCAAATGTAAGCACATGTTTAAGTTAGAGGTGGAATAAGTGCTTTTATGACAGGGTCGCTAACCTACAGCATAGTTCACTTATACCTTGGGCTGGCTCTGCTGAGCACTTCTAAGAAGGCTATTTCCAGACTAGATAAAGACAAGAACTGATTTCCAGTGATTAAAGGGCATGTTAAAGTAATATCTGTCTGTATGCTGTTTCATATGTAAAAGATAAGTTTACTACCTTCTTAGTTACTGAAACCAGGACTTGTCCACAATATTGTCCTTGGTGGTTTTATTTTTCAGCAATGTTCACCAGAAATGTCAAAATGCAAACAGATTTTTTTTTGAATGACAGGATTAGTAAAGGGCAATAGCAGGCTGTTTTTCTTTCTGATGTCTAACTCAATCTACTGTACCTAACGGCAATCTTTCTTCTTCCCTCCTTACAGAGTGCCCACATACCGAGGGAAACAGAGAGAGGTCCACATGACGGTAGGTGTCCCACAGGGCACCGTGGGAATACAGTCTGTGCTGGGCTCCCTGCTTGGCTTGTAGCCAACAGTTGGGAGGGCTGGTTTGAATTTCACCTTGACATTAAACAGGAAATTATCGCCCCCTAGTGGAAGACCAATGGACGCTAATCCTTTAGTTCCCTGATAAGTTTTTCTTCAGATTCAGCTTTTTATTTTTACAAAGGCAAAATCTAGCCTCTAAACTGAATTTGCAGCATCCAATCCCTCTTGAGGTTAACCTGGTGAAATTTTATGGTCACCAGAGTCTTTTGTAGAAAGGAATGTCACCCTCTTGGCCCCGGAAAAAAATCTTTTTGCACAATCCCAGCATTGACAAATCTAATTTGAACAATCATAAGCCAGGCTTCATGATATTGCTCAGGCACAAAATGGTTGATTTAGTTTCCCAGAGGGCCAGTGGCCTCTGAGTTAATTCAGGCTTGGTTATGGCCTCTGCAATGTTTCAGAGGTGTTGTCAGTCCATGTCCTAATATCTTTCACAAGAGCAGGACTCCTGCAAAGACCACAAGGAGGGTGGGGGGTAGACTGAAGGCTCTGCAGCATGTAAATGATAGAGGAGAACTGTAAAAAAAAATTATGCCTAGGTTTGTGTTGAACTCATATACTTGTTAATGTTTATGACAAATTATGTAAGCGCTCGTAAAGTGGAGCAGTTGGTGTTTTCTTATATAAACCAGGTACTTTTAAGTAGACAAATATGATTTAAAACCATTCCAATTCACACATGCCTGCATTTTATTTAGCTTTTATCCAGATGTGTGTGTCCAAGTTTATAACTCTGGTCCCTTTGCCTTTGTCTCCACAGTGATCCCTTTGTTGGAGGTTATCAACAAGAGTTCGTGTCAGCCCCGGGAGGTGCTGGTGGATATCTTGCAGGAGTACCCGGATGAGGTGGAGCACATCTTTATCCCATCCTGCGTGGTACTAAAGCGCTGCGCCGGCTGCTGCCTCGACGAGAAGATGCAGTGCTTCCCGACAGAAACTCGTAATGTCACAATGGAGGTCAGCAACCTTATGAACAACATTAACACTGACATGTTTAACATTTTTAGTTTGTTTTGTTTTTTTACCCAACAAAGCTTGGTATTTTAAATCCACCCTTTGCTATGTCCATGTGTGTTAGGCTAGAAGGGTTCTTAAGCATCATGCAAAGAAAGCTGAATTTTTCCATCAGTTTGTTTTTCTTTATTATCCCATAAAATGTTTACTAAACAAAATATATCAGAATTAATCTTTTGAAAAGAATCCTATGTTTTTAAATCTGTTTTCCTACCGTGTGATAATATTTGCACCTCCCTGTTCTGATCTACAGAGCCTCCTTTTAAAAAGGATGGTTCAGGATTTCTTTGAACAAGCTTTTGTTGCTAATGTTATTAGTAACAATACCCTTATCCTTAACGACAATTTGTAAAAAAGTTCATAGATTATGCTAGCAACAAGCCAGACAGACCTTCTGATTTGACCAAATCAAAGCAATTCACTCTGAAACTAGTATAATGTGTTGTACAGAAGGCGGCAGTGGCTATAGACCTGCACTTTTAGGAAAGAATGTTTAAGACTAAGTTAGTCGCCATTTTCAGTCTGTTACTGTGCTAATGTTGGCTAAAGCCACCATCTGTATCAGCCCTACCTTATCAGCTGATCATGGGTCAAACAACTACAAGACCAGGAAAGCACCAGCTTTGATGCCATTGCGTAATTGATGGCACAAAAATCCCAAAGTTAATTCATTTCCTTATGTGTTCATGAGGGTGACTGTTGCTGCCCACAGCAGCTTATGCATTGCAATGCAGATGCTTGGCTAAACAACAAACAAATCGAAGCCTAATTGTGAAAGTGTAGATGATCGATAGTTGCTAATATGACGCTGCATCAGACATATATCAACATTTTCAGATCGATTCTATTTAATAGCAAAATCAGACATGTTTCTACCAAAGGCAATGTTACTTAACTGATAACTTTAAATTTTAAAATAATCCAAAGCGTTCCTCTAATATCCATGTATGTGGAGAGAACCTCACATTTTCTCCCTCATTACCAGCATTGATAGTAATTTAAAATTGGAGTCAGAATTATTATTAAGTGTTTATACCTCTTCAACTATCCCCTCTGGGTCAATATAATGCTGCAAATGTTGTAGGTATGTCTCTACCAGCATCTATGTCCCCACACTAAGGCATCAACTCAACAGATCCGCTGTGTTAATGCTAAAGTACTCAAAGATGGACTCATTTTACACATTAGGAGATTTTATGTAGGGGTCTGAGATTCTGAGACAATCAAAATAGCGTTTGTTCAGCTTTTTTGAGTGTTTCTAAGTGCTGGTCTTTCAAAGTTAGAAGAGAATCAGTAAATATATAACTGATTATTGTTTCAACATGATGAAATGTAAATATAAAAAGCTAAAGTGTGAAGTACACACTGTAGCTCCTGACTAACGAAAATCTCCCTTCTTGTTTTACAGATTAAAAGATCAAAACCTCTAAGGCAACAAAATGATGTTTTCATGAGTTTTACAGAACACAGCGCATGTGAGTGTAGGTAAGAAACTTCGAAAAACACACACACACCCATGCACATACACAAAACATTGCTAAAAGCAAATTACAGCACCATTGTGCAGCGAAGCCGAGGTCGGCCAGACGTAGCATATGAAGTTATTGTTTGCAGCTCGCCCTCTGACACATTCAATAGATGCTAATCATGCAGATTTATATCTTATCTTGGCTTCTTCCACATGGCTGGGCATTTTTAAAGAAAAGCCCTGAGCAGGTTCAAACACATTGTGAATTTATCATCATTCCAGAGCATAGCTGTAGCTCTGTAGCATTTAACAGGTTCTACCTGGAAGCATGCAGTGCCCCCTGCTGAGATCACTGTAATATTTGATATCTACGAATTCCTTTTTGGATCACTTCCTGAGTTAGATAGAGTTAGAGTATGCACATCTAGTCCAACAATAAAAAATGAGTGAAATTTACAGATGACATAACCAGGAGCTTGATCATCAGGCAAAAACTGCATCATTTGATCTATTGCAATTAGAAACAAACATGACCGACCATCTTATCTTAAATGTTCATGTGACCATTATACAGAAGATCATTAATAAGACTTTCCAGCTTATCTAATGTGACTAATTTATTGTATGTGCTTAGCTCTGTGAGAAAAAAAAATGTTCAGACCTGAAAAATCAAATATAGCTGTGTCTAAAACTGCAACAAACATTGTCATCTAAACTAGTGAAAGCTGTAACTGTACTAATCATTGACAGCTCTCTTCTCTCCTCAGACTTCTGCTGTTTACTATTAAAATCTCTTTTTTTCCACATTCTGATTATAATGTTAGTAGGGGTTTGAGTTATGACATAGCAGCTCAGAGGGGACATGCCTCCTCCTCCCACATTACAGAGACATTTGAAAAGAAAACAAACAAATCGGGTACTTTATTTTGCTGACCAAGGTTCGAGATGAATTACCCAATGGTTGCTTTACGCCTCGTGTTTGCATAGTTAGTTGAAACTGGAGTCTGACGTTGATTTGTTCCTAAGAATTATTACTATAACTAGCCTTTAATGTAAAGCCCTACCATGGAGATTTAGAGGCTCCAATTGGTTACAGACATGGATTTCTTTTTAATGAATTTAAATGATTTTCAGCCAGCATTGCACGAAGCATTCAATGAGAGATTGTAGTTGGCGGATTTCCTTTAAGCCAACTTAATTTTTTTTTCATTCCTGTTAATCAAGTGCATCAAAACTAAGAATTTTTAGCACAAACTGACGTTACTGAAATGGATGCACTCTTTTTGTTTTTTGTTAGTAAATCAGCAAGTGAAGGAAGCTAAAAATTCTTTATTTGCTGTTGGATGCAAAAAGGCCACCTCTATCCAAGGTTAGCACCTCTTGTTTGTGTTATAGTTCTTACAAAAAACAAACAAAACAAAATAATTAGCGGTTAGATTTAAAAGAAAACTAAAACACTGCGTTGCCCTGCGATGGACTGGTGACCTGTCTGGGTGTACCCCGCCTCTCACCCATAGACAGCTGGAGATAGGCACCAGCACCACCGCAAACCCAGCTGGGATAAAGCGTGAAAGAAAATGGATGGATGGATAAAAGATGGCATCAGTCTCAAAAATTGGTGCATGAGAACAAACCCTAATCATTAATGCTTCTGTTGAATCTTTACCTTAGCAGGCAATCAAATCCATCCCCTATAGAGGAGGAGGACATACCAGAACTTTTATTATAATCATTGTTCTAATGCTATAAAAATCCAAAAACACCAGCAGATAAAAAAGTGAAGTCTTCATGTGTTATTGATCATCCTTATTGCATTGACAAAGTCATGACTTCTATAGCCCTTAAGAAAATGTTTATTTTATTTAAAAGTATTCCTAATGGTATTTCATGCCTTTCGGAAGTGCTCCAACGTTTCATAGATTAAGTATTTCTTCTTAACAGTAGGTGTCACATTTCAGGTTTTAATAGAGTCTTTTCCATCTTATCAACGTTATAAGTCTTCAACGACTCGGCCAAGTTCCTTTAAACACAATAAAGAGATGTTCCAAGGCCAAAATGAGAACCTGGTAAATTTCAGTGCAACTGCATATCAGTTGGTTCCTGCAAAATAAAACACTGGCCTTGGTAAGGCTTCCAGACACAATAATGAGATACCCTCTGTCTAACAGGAATCTTGCAAAAGTTTGTCAAGCCAAAAGTTGGCCATGAGTGCGAGACCATCTCGAGGGAAACACTGTTTCCTAACTTTATTGGCAGAGTGCTGCCCGGCGAGGTTGCCAGCAGAGTTATTGCTCCACACTCTCTTATCGGCAAGAGCTGTCACATGAACAAAAAGTGAAACAAACTTCTTAGCTCTCAATTGCGGACGTGTTTGTATGTGTGTATCCATCAAACAACACAACCCCACGTGTGCCTGTGTCGACAGTGATCTGCTTTATTTCCCAACTTTGTTTCATTTACCAAGCTAAGTATTTGAGAGCTAGCTTTAGCACCATTTCTTGCAAATGTCATGGCAGTGATGTAACATGATTTGAGAAGATTAAAGTGCGTCAACCGCTGCTAAAAAAGAAAAATCAGCCCATGGCCTTTGATATGCATCTGTTTACCCACTGAACAAGAAACTTATTGTGACCTAATATTTTTTTTGTTGTTGTTTCTTCTTTTTAGGGTAAAGCCAGAATTCAGAGAAAAGAAAGAAAAGTGAGTACTGCACTTTGCTATAAATGGAAATTGGGATATATTAAGGGAGGGGTTGGGAAATTAATATTTCTTATTGCATTGCAAGTTCTCTCTCTTTAAATATCTGTATTATCGACAGAACTATAAACTTTCAATTGATCTGCCTTTTAATTTTTCCTGCCTGTTAATTTTTTAATATTATTAAAATGTCAGATACAAACACACAACACTCCATAACCATAATTTTATACTCCCATTGGATGAGATACATGGGATTATCAGGGATTAGCATGCTGTGGTTAGTTGATAATTGCTGGGAATGCAGACTAAATCACCAGGTGAATGACTGCCTTGATGAGGCCATTGCCCTTTCTCAACACCTCTTTCTTGCTTTTCTATCATATATTTTACAATCCTCCCCTTTAGCCTCAACCTGTTTACATCCCTCTTAACTTCTGTTACTCCCGCTTCTAATTGCTCTGATACAGATAAGTGTTTTTGAAGTGCTGTTAAGCTGTTTGGTTCACGGTCCGAGCTTTAGTGATCCTCCCCATCCCATGCCACACCAGTCGCTGTTTTAACGGTCATCAAGGCTCTTTAATCCTTCCACTGCGGGTTCTCGTTAATATTTTTCCATCGTGCAGCTGTTGGTGTCAGCCGTATTTTGGTTTTTATGTCAGGTCGTCTGTCATATAGATAAGGCGCAGCTTTGAGACCTTCTCTTTAACCTTGTCTCAACTGTTTACAATTCTGGCATTGGTGGCGTATGTCGACAAAGTGATGATGCTGGGGGTCATTCAACCTCTGCTTCTGACGTTTTCAAATGTTCATTCTAGTTTTATCGCCTCCTGCTAACCTCTGCAGAGGTCCCAGAGTCTATCAGGATGACTCATCTTGCTTATGTTGGGAAATTAGTTAACTGTCAACGTCCAACTGTGATATGAGACAACTGCACATATCCTGTTCTGTTGATCAGTTAGTGACATATTTACTATCCTGTTCCTCATCTGGCCTGACTACAGACTTCCGGACTCTTTATATTAACCCCTGGTTCAAATGGATAGTGTTGCCTTTGAAAAGTTAAAACATAATTTGGGGTTTTGCTGGCAGTAAGGCTTTTGAGATTATTGAATTATTTGTTTCTTTGCTTTGCCAAACAGCTCTTTACCTTTTCCAGACATTTCTTTCAGTTATTGGTTGTGATTACATTAGTCATTTGTGGATAAAATTCTTGTTTTTTGTTAGACTTTACTATTCCTCTACTGTCTCAGTGAATTTCACGGTCACTGTTTATTGTGAAATAAAACCTGATGAAAGAGATGAATCTAGGACACATATTGATGAGCAGAAGATGCATTGTAATGAATCGATCCCCCAAGCTCCTTTGAAAGCTCCTCATCAACAAGGATTGCTTTGATTGATGATTAAACAGCATTCCAGCCTGGCCTCAGTAACACCAATTAGCAACTGTCTGAATACTAACTACAAGGCTAAACTTGTTGAATAGAAAGCTGCCAAACATTACCATGCTAATACTGTCACGTAGCGGATTCTCACTGTGTCGTGAGCATGGCTTCACGTCCTTGTGGCAGGCATTTAATTTTCCTCACAAAAATTCTACTTTTCCATTCTGTATGGGATTGATAAGCAGAACAAAATCAAAAGCATGGAGAAATTTTACAAGAATCTTGTCTGTGCCAATGAAGCAGTGTCAAAATACAGAAATACTCAATTCTGTATCAAATTGATATTTGCACAGAACTGCATTTTGGGTTTTTTTTGCCGAAAAGAGATATAGCATTTGTTTGTTTGTTGCAGGGCTCTAATTGAGCTAGTATATGCTATTTTTGTCTAAAAGATGTCAGCCTCTTTTGCAAAACTTCACAAAGCTGTGAAAACTAAGGTTCTTGTGCAATTTTGAAAGGCTTTGAAAAGTGATTGATTGTATTTTTCAACTGAGCATGGAAAAAGTTATGTGAGAAAAATCTGTGGGAACCCTGAAATAGAAGTCATTCTCTATACTCCCTCTGGCCATGCATAAAACACAAATTAAGCTGGCACTGTGTAAAGCTTGTTACATGCTCCACAAGAAGCGGGAAATTTGTTGACGTTCTCAAGGTGGAAAGAACAAGAGAAGTTTGTTTTGCCAGAGTTTTCATACTTCGCAAAGAACTCCCATCCACTGTAACTTACATCAAACACAAAAAAGAAAATGCAACAGTAACGGCAAGACAGAGGCCTTTTTCAGATTGACGGGGAGAGCAAAATGCTTCAAATTACCTGGAAGGTGTATTATCCATTACACAATAGATCACTGTACAGATTTCTGCACCTGAAATAAAGGAGGACATTTGTGACCCAAAAACAAAAGGGGAAATCATCTCCACTCTTCTTACCAATAAGAACCGCCATTCAAATCCTGCTCCATCATAAAACTGGTCTATGACATGCTGCAAAAAAAGGTTCTGCCCATCTGTGTTTAAAACCTGTTGGGAGGACCCCCCACCCCCAGACACTGTTGAGAGAACAAGATAAATAATTCTGCCCTCTTAACTATGAAAGAAAGAACAATATTCTCACTTTTCATGGTGTATGAAACAAGCTCAAGATTCTTTCCTCTGACTTGTAACCATGCTTGTTTTAAATTCCCAACAAATCGCACAAAAGTTTTACGACACCACACAAATAAAGTATTCTGCCACAGCCTCAGAGAACTCCATAACTACATTTATTAGAACAACAGCTACAAGAAAAAATACTGTGTAATTGGATTCTTGCAGCCTCGGAAGAGCTAATTTGTCACTTTATGCAGAATGGTATAGCCCAGGGTTCCTCAGTTCCACACCTTGAGGTACAAGCACCTTTTAGATATATCTGTTCTTTTAACACCCTTAAATCAGATCAGATCTTTAGCAGACATCTGGAGAACTTCACTGCATAATGAGTAGGAAATTAAGCCATTACATTTAGGTGTGGAAGTAGAGGCACATCTAAAAGGTTCAGGACCCCGGACTTCAGGGACCATAATTGAGGAACAGACCAAGTAATAATGAACATTTTCATCTTGGCTGATTATAAATGTGAAGACTCACATATAGTGAGTATACATATATATATATACATATATATATATATATATATATATACTAGTTAAATAAAGACAAGCATTGACCAAACCAAACCAGCTGAGGAAAATAATATCCACAGCACCTCAGTGTTTTCAGGGATATGGGTGTTTGAAAGGATCTGATTGTTCTGCTGATTATTATCAGAGGGTTTCCTATCACAGTTTGATAAATTGACATGAAAATTGTCTACCTCCAGCCAGCACTTGTGAAACACAAGGGGCTTGATGCATAAAACTGTGTGTGGATTACTAACCAAATGGTTTTAGGTGCGTAGAAATGCATGCACATGCCCATGCTTTTTTTTTTTTTTTTCAAACATACTAAAAAAAGTCTTAGTTATATTCCAACCTTTACCAATAAATAAAAGTATATTCTACAATCCATCATTTGCAAATAAAAATAACCATTTGCATCACAAGTCTTTGGGACACATCAATGAACGCAACTTCTAAAAAAAAAAAAAAAAAATTTAAATGTTAATGCTAAGACTCTTCTTTTTACTTGTGGTAATCAATAGGTTGGGAATATTTTCACTGCCCATTCTTCCTTTACAAGTTGTAGTAAGTTGGGAAGCAAAGGCTACCCATGATTTTTGTGCTCACACATTGTTTATGCGTCCAGCCCCTTGTGTACGCTTGATAAGCACACTTCTGTTTGTTCTCATTGTGCTCCTTTCTGAAACAACTTGAATCAGCTCTAAAGAGTTGACCCAGATATGTTGAAAGATGTCGTTTTGGTGAAGTCCAAGCCTTTTGTCCTCGATTCATCCGGTAAATTTCCGCCCACGGCAAAGCCTCACAACTGTTAATTGGTTTCACTCTCTCTCGAGTCATTGTACGTTTTTATAAGACCAATCATCCTGGGAAAAAGGCTTTTGAAACTAAGCTGGACAATGAAATGATTCTCTCACAGATTATATATCTTATTCAATATCTGTGGGATGTGGATAATCATGGGTATGTCTTATGTTTTACCATTATCAAGGAAAGCATGTTATCCATACTGGGATATATCTTTCCTCTTAATGAAACAAGTTGGAAAAAAAAGTTGGACTGACTTATCGCCAGTCTCTCAGACATTTCTTTGGGTTGTTGTCCTTTTTCTCTTGCAGAAAACCCCGGACAGGCAAAGGCAAAGGCCTAAAGAGAAAGCGAAAGAAAAACCGTGACAAAACAATTCACGATGCGTATGTCAGCTCCGCCTTCTCCACCTACCTGCACCTGAGTGTTGCGCTTCTCATAATTAAGCTAATTTGGGAGGAGCTTTTTTGCCCCTTTTAATTCATACCATTTAATTGAGCCAACAGCCATATCAACTAGCATGTCGCTTTCGTGTACTGTTCTAACTTTGTCTCGTCAGTCATGCTATCCATAATTCTTAAAAAATTTGTCTGAGCTGGCCTGTCGGCCAGGTACTATTGCTAATGTGTTTTTTACAAAAACTTACATATAAAACACTCAATAAAGAGTTTGCAATATCCATTCTTGTTAAAGATAAGCCATATAACCTATCTCAATATCTAAAAAAACACTAACCAATCTCAGTGAAATTGCTTGCAAGTATATTCCCCCGCAACCCCATATTTATGAAAAAGACTGGACCAATGATTGGGATCAGATTCAGCAGCCAAAATTGGAGGATCAAACAACTTTTCCATTGGTTGGATAAATAATTGGAGAAGCTGGGATAAATTGATCTGAAATGTTAGCTGTAGCACAGGCCTTTTCCTAGAAAAGATCACAGATCCACCAGCATGACTTTGGAGACCTGCCCACACTATTCTGTTATCTGTGCTGGGATCAGCAAGACTGTAATCATGGTCCTGTCTTCAGTGTTGAGTCTGTGCCTCTTTGCTGTGTCTCTTTGCCTCTCTCTGTTCTTTTCATCTTATAAAACAGTCTCTTTGTTGTCCTCAGCTTTATGCTGGTACTATTTATGTAATGTGAAGACATGAATGATTACTATCTATTGACTTTTCCCCTTTTTTTTCTTAAGTTTCTTCAGCAAGTACTGTTTTTGTTTCTTTGTTTACCTACTTTTGTGTCTGAGACTGTGAAAGTACTCATATTTTTTTTCAAAAACTAATATAAAGATGACCTCATGTATCTTCCGTGCAGATGTTTTTGAACATATTCTGTCTGTATGTTCGTTCGTTATTTGTATATTGATGAAAATGGAATTTCTGGGTCTAATCCCGAAATGTAATTTAAACCTATTTCCGCCTCTGTTTTGAAACTCATGTCTATCTGTGGGAATCACGGTTTTCCATTTCACTCAATAAAATGAAACATTTTCTTAATGGTGCACAAAACAGACCCTTGAGTCTTCTTTATCAGAAAAGTGAGAGCAAGAAGTGTTCTGTCATTAACCTGCAGCTCAGTGCTGTTATGTCATTCTGTTTTGCATGACGTGGTCTAGAGCTTCACTCACTGCATGTCTAACCAAACTTTTTTGTGATGGTTCATTCAATGTGGAAGGGATGGGAGGTCAGGTGTTACTTTTAAAGCTTGCTTTTTTTTTCTTGCTTGCTCTGTGGGAACCTGTGAGCAATAATTCCCAAGTATCACATGCAGGGATTCCTGGTAATACCTTAAAGGAACAACTGGGGCATAAAAAGTGCTTGAACTTAGGGCGACCTGTCATAGGTGGAAACCATACCCTGTTATAATCTGCCTCTCCCTCTTCCTCCCCATCTCTGTCTTTGTCTCTGTCTGTCCAGTGTCTGTGAACCATGTTGTGATAACTGCTCAGAGAGGAGAAAGCGTTTGTTTGTGCAGGATCCTTCAACCTGCCGGTGCTCCTGCAAACACACAGTTGAATACTGTAAAGAACGCCAGCTAGAGCTCAACGAGAAGACCTGCAAGTAAGCGCTGCTGCTTTAGCTGAAGTCAACCTTTCCAAGTTGTCTTTAAAACAAACTAGAAAACATAGATTGCTTTCTAATAACCCAACTAACTTTACATTCAGCTGTGCAACTTATAAGCAGCTACTTTATTTGGCTTGTCGCCCCTTGTTTTCATTGGATGCAGTTACATCGTATTTCCGGTGATCTGTACCATCCATCTTGCGGTTTCATATCACGCCCAGTAATCATTTCAGAAGTATAGAATTGAGGTCACTAGACTGTGCAGGTTGAATAAGTTCAAGCTAAATATCACATTTCTGTTTTAGGATATGAAATAACTTGCCCCTTGCTTTCTACCGCTGAAACTCCTGCAGGTAATTTGAACAATCTGTCCTCTCTGGTGTTTCTTTTTATTTTAGAATAAGTAATCAATGTTTTCATGTAATATGCGGTCAACATTCACATCTAAGGCCTATATCAGTGAGGATTCGGCTAAAAAGGGCCCATAGATGGAATTGTCCAAATAAAGCGTCAGTTGCCTGTTTATAATAGGCTGACTGCAGGGAAGGAATAGAGAAAAGTGGAACAGAAATGAATCCTAATGGTGTTTCACAATTTACAAGAACTTTACCTACATTGGCTTCCTTACTAGCTTTGCAAATATGTTTGCCTTTAATTGACACAAGAGGGTCTCATACAAGAGGCTTATTGTCATCCGGTGGTACTTAGTACCATTCCAGCCTGAGAAAAATCCATTACAGCGCCCACAGTCACGTTAGCAAAAAGAGGACGCTCCCAACTACTTAATCTTTGCATCGATGATTAGATATGTCAGCTAAATTCCACCAATCTAGAGTTATTCAAGTCTGCGGGAAGATTTAATTTTAAAACTTCCCTAGAGTTTAGATACCTTTTCCAATTCTGACTTTTAAAAGTATTTCAGCAAGTAACTGCGTGCAAAGATCCTACTAATTCAAAGTTGGACTAATCCACACAAAAGTGGATCCATCCAACCGTCACAGAGATACATTGCAACTGCACCTGGTGTTAACAAGGGGTTTTAGACTTTACATTAAAGTAAATCATTCTTCGTGTGTTGCATGGGATCTTCTTTTCTGCATCTTCATATTTCTTGTATCATCTTTATAAGTCTTCTACCTCAAAGGGAGTAACATTTCTGAATAGTTTTTGATAAGAAGTGACAAAACCTGAAAATGAAAAAAATAACAAGGTTGAATCTGCGACAGAGCACTAAATATGCAGCTTTTCAGAATGTTCACAGAAACATTTAAGGACCTCAAATCAAATAACGTCATTGTCATGGTTTTTGTGGTCACACATAGCAACATGGGGTGTTCACATCTGATGTCTTGTAGTTCTAGTGTTGTTTGGAATAGATTCAAATTGGTTCTAAAGTTGATATAAATTGCTAACCTGTTAATGAGATGTGCTAAAAATTGTAGGATGCTATCTGAAATAAGGTCTTGCTTGTCTGGCTTGTGTTGTGGATTAGTTAATTTGACAGAGTTGGAAAGTTATTGCATTCCATTGGTAAATTACAGCTTCATTTTAAAAGACGGGGAGCTAAGTTGTGATCAGAAAATAGCCAGGCAGCAGCTGGCACGTTGGTTATGACTAGTTACTGTTCTGGTTGGTTAAAGTCAATCTTAACCTATATAACAAAATTGGATTATCTGCAGGGCTACAGTTTATTTTTTCTCATGAGCTATTATGCCATTATGAGGAAAATTCTTGGCATCATATAAATGCATAAAATGTGATTTTCAATTCCTTTATTCCCAAATATGTTATTGTCAGGTCCTGGGACCTACCACATGCAAAAGGCTCCATCCATTGCTTAAAACCAAAAAATAACTGTTGCAACTGCTCAGCAAGTTGTTACAGCTATAAAATGCATTTTAGCTGCAGGAGATGCAAGCTTGTGAGGCATCGCCAACTTTCACTTTCGGGTTATTTTTGTGTACACATGTTACACTCTAGTGAAAGTTTTTTTCTTCCTGTTATTGTTCTACAGCTATGCTGTGCTGTAATTGGTTTTACTCATAATCTTTTTTATCCTTTGTCTCTTCCTATTCAGATGTGACAAGCCGAGGAGATGAGAGAGGTGCCAGCACCAGATGTACAAGATGAAGGAACATTTTAAAGATATTTCAAAGCACAGCACTTTGACCTTTATACCCTAAGCTCTTTTCTGTGGAAAGCATTCCCCCTGCATGGACAGAACAAAGAGAAAGACTGAAGTTTCCTCCCTCTGTATATCTGTGTGTATATAGATAATATCAAAAGAAAAAAAGTACAGATTTGTTATGCTGCTACAAAAACAAACAACTAAAACCCATCATTTGACTAAAAGCGGAGTAGCCGTCATGTGGTTTTGCGTTTCTAATAGGCTTTCGATGCAGATGATGTCTAATTGTCAATTCATTGTATGCGATTACTTCACTGGATTTGAGTCTACTGTGGTTATACGTCAGTCATAACAAGCAAAACCTCTAGATATATTTAACTTCTAAAACAGTGGGTGAGACTGAAGAAGACATGGGTGTGCTCTGCTTTTTTAATATGATGGTTGGACTTTCGTTGGCTGACGCTTATGGAATGAAAAGACTGGACAAATGGGACAACGGATGGAAAACTGTCTCTGCTCAAGATTGCTTCCCTCTGAGGACATTGCAGGACTTGCAGACTTTCACATTTCAATGTTGCGCTGCTCAGGGGGGGGACTCTGGAATGATGGTGCCATATACTTTCAAAGGGATACTGGTCGATGATATAGCATTTAATATTTTACAATGTTCTACAAGAAAACCACTGAAAAATCCTATATACTGTAGATTGATTCCATTTGAACTGTGCCTCACTCAATGTACTGAGAAATCCTGAGTGGTTTTTAAATTATTTTTTTTTGTTTTCTTTGCAGAAGAGGAGATTGTTAAAGTTTTCTTTATTGAACACACTATCATTGATTAGACATCTTGTCTGAACATGTACATAGATATCCCTTCGTGCCATTGTTCATTCTAGATAATTTATAATGTTATAGATTATTTTTCAGTATTCAGTCTTGTAAACATATTTAATTTGGTCTATTTATGTATGCTGTGTTATGTACTTGTAGCTGTCGTTTTTTTTTTTTTTTTCATATGTGTAAGGTCACTGATGGCTACTTTCACCATGGCTCTCAAGGCTTTTCTATAAAACAAGTTTTAAAAAAAATCAAAAATATATTAACATTCCCTTAATTAATTTTATGTGGACTGCCTTACCAATGACATCTCTATTTGAACCCCTTTGCAGGGATGAGTGCCATGTAGGGTTTTAACTTTTGAGAGTGTGTCTACTGTATGAATGGGTGTACTATTTTTAGCAGCTAAGTATACGATACCACAATACAACCACAAATATGAAATTGGATCTCCATTCTGACCGCCATCAGTCAGAATTTCTATAAGATATTTTTGTGTCCTCTACACTATTAACATGTTTTTGTGTCTATGTAAAGCAGTAAAGGATATTTATTTTAAAATCATGTTGTTTTTATATAAAATAAGGAGAAGGTTGCAGTGTTGAGAATGCTGTATTTTCATCTGAGGTAATTAGTCAACAGTGTGAGGATTTTTCTTTCATGAAACAAAGTGTTACTTATACAAATACTTGGATTCTTTGTGCGAATGTTATGTAAAAGAGCAAAAAAAAACAGAAAAAATAGATTCCTGCACCCATTTAATGACCGACAGACATTCAGCCATGTGAATAAACACGCACTTTAACCAAGTGTACAGTAATTTAATCTGTTCAATTTGATTACAATTTTGCAGTGCAAATTAAGCATAAAACAAAGTTAAACCCAGTTGTCAAATCATTTCTATCTGACAAGTGTATACCAATTTATTGGGTGAGCCTATATTCCATCTTCTAACAAATTGTAACCCAAGGATGCAATTCCATGCAGCTAGGCACCTACAGATGCTGAGCACATCTTGCTGAGGGTTAACCTGAGCAGTAGAACGTGGGAAACTATTATTTAAGTAATTCTTATCAATTGTAGCTCTGAATGTTGGTGCAAGAGAGGATGATCGAAGAATTTGGATTTTAACATGGAAATATCTCCTTGCTATGCTGAGAATGGTTTGACAATGTCCAATGTGTCAAGAAAAATTAATGGCAAAAACAAGTAAGAAAATTTAAAAACCCTGTCTTTGCAAATTTTTCAAGTGAGTAGACATGTCTACAAGATCTGCATATTCTAGGCATAGACATTTCAGAGTAAACAGCTTGAAGATTTTGTTGACACTGCACGGATCCAGGAACTTTCTGTCTTCCTGCTTAATCATTTTTTGTCTTCTGCATTCTGGTTCAATGTTGATATTTTTGATAAACAGAAGATTATCACTTTAAACAGACTGACTGCTACATTACAAACATCAAATAATATCAGGTTCACTCCAAGTTCGCCGTCAATGACCTTCCAATTTATCTGATTTTTCTAATGCTATAATATCCAGAATTTTGTTTTTTGTTTTATGGTTATTGCTGTTTATTTTGCTAATGGCATAGTGGACTACTTTTGTTTACTTTTCTAAACCCTGTGTACAAACAGTTTTATAGTGTGAGCTTTGTAGCCAAAAACCAGATTTTCTGAGGAGACATACGAAAGAACATCCCCTAAAACTACAATAACAGCTGGGAAAGAGATAACCAAGCTTCTCCTCCAACTTAAGTAACCAATATGGCTGCAAAGCAAATAAGAATAAATGTTGGTACACACAGCTTAGTGGAACAGATGAAATACTCACTCACTGAAATAGAGTTTTGCAAAATATTGTACTTTTTATTTAGTAACCAGGTTGCTTAAGTGTTTAAATCAAATGCAGAAATTTGAACCCTGTCCTTATATTAAACCACAATAATTAGAAAATCTCACAATTTTTTCAACTTGCAAACAGAAAATGACCAGCTCAAGTAAAAAATTGGTGAGAGTTTCGTGCTAAAAATTTCAGTAAAAATTACTTGGGCTGGCACTAGCCCTTGTAGGATTTCTCTTTGTTTGATTCAAATAGATCACCTTGTTTTATAGTAGGTAAAAGCCCAACAGTAAAGGTTGGTCATTTCACATGTTGGTCTTTTCATGTCTATGTACCTTGGGTCCTTCTTACTGGCCAAATCATTCTCACTACTGGAGTATTTCTTATCTGCTTTTGGAATCAATGATTCATTCAATCAAAGTCTGAAAGTCATAATTAATCTCAATGGGAAATTAGATGTTGTAATTCTCAAAGTCTTTTTGCAACACCTGTTGTATGTTAATACATGTTGGAAGGAAGGATCTGCTCCAGGAAAAGCTTTTGACAGAGGACGTTGTTGTTGTCAAACAGTACAATGCGGAATATGCTGAGGGTTATCCATCATATTCTCCATCAATCGTCCGCCACTTATCTGGCAGGTTCATAGGGAAGTTATCTTTATCTTCAGCAAACTATACACTCTGGACGGGTCGCTAGTCCATTGACAACCAGACAACCATTTCCATACACACATTCACACAATGATGTGTCACACTATCCTTGTGAGGACATTTCATTGACTTCAATGCATTTCCACTCATTTACATGGCCTAATACATTTTTCTAATTCTATAACCCTTACCCTAACCCTAACATTACCAATACATGTCTAACCCTAAACCTAACCTAAACTCAATTCACACCTTAGACCTAAACTTAATCCCCACCCGAAGAAGAGAACCTTTCCTCATTGGGACCAGGTGTTGTTCCCCATAAGCACCTATACAGTAGTAGCCATTCAAATTTCCACACTTATCTTGATGGGCCCTTGGCTGGTCCTTGGCTGTTCCCCTAAGATTTATTTTTTAAACATCAATCTTTTTACTAAAATATTCTTTCTGTGGACATTAAGATCTAAAGAGAAGCACTTTCTCCTGGTCAGACCCTGTAATTCAGTAAGCGGGTGGAGTCAGAGTAAAAAAATACACATGCCCAGGAGAAGGAGGGGGTAAATCCACTGACTGGAATTTGGCTGCCATTCGGCTGGCATTTGACTGGGAAGGGCCATTCGGAATGGCTGCTATTGTAGGTCCCCAAAAAGAGCATATTCCTGGGAAATGGTCCCCACAAGGTAACAAAAATATGGGCACACACACCTACAGGCAATTTAGAGACTCCAATTTACCTAGCCTTTGCGGTTTTTCCACTTTGGGAGAAAGCCAGAGTACCCGGAGAGGACACATGCATGGATAAGGAAGAATATGCAAACTCCATGCAGGAAGAACCAATAGGCTCCTTCTCTCCTTAAGTCTCTCAAACTGTTGTCTGTTTGTCAGATAGTCTTTAAACCAGATTTTTGATCCTAAACCAAATCTGGAGTTTCTAACCAAGTAAATCATGCTTAATCCTATGAAATTCACTTGAGAAATCAAAGCGCATAATCCTTTCAGTGATGTCTGCCTTGTTTAAATGATACTAGGTTTACTGAAGCATGTGAATGATGGCATCTTCAACTCCAACTCCAAACTTGCAGGCGGGTCCTGGTAGCTGCTTGTTTGATTGTCCAGGTGGGCCAACAGGAATCTCTCTAGGATCTTCACAATTTTGAATGTCAGGACCCTAGCTCTATCTTAAACAAGGACTGTTGGTGGAGGGGATTTTTTTGGGTTCTAGGACAAGGCAGGCGGTCTTCTACAATGTTAGAACAATCTCCTTGTTCAGGCTAAAGATGTATATATATATATATATATAGTTGAGTAGGCACTGTAGTATTTCACAGAGCTGCTTTGCAAAGGCCTTTAGGACTTAGGCTAAAACCACCTGGGCCTGATGACTTTTTAAAATTTAACTACTTCTGCAGATAACAGAACCCCCGGAAAGCTGCTGGACCAGATTCTGTCACTCCATCCACT